ACAGAACTTACTTTACTAAACTTGCAGTAAGAAAAAAATATGATTAGTTTCACATTAAATGCTGTGCACATTAAAGAAACATTTATTAGAGCTGAAACATCCAGAAAAAAACAGAAAATTTCAAGAAATCAATAACAAACAAATATATATATAATAAGGTTTACTGGAATGTTCTGCCCAGTGAAGTTATTTCAAGTCTCAATACACATGCATGTATTCATTTGAAGTATATATGACTGTCTTTCTCTCTCACTGCATTTATACACATGTGCTCTTTTAAATTAACCAAAAGATTCTCATTTCATTATTATTATTAAGTTAGAAACGATCATGTAAACACGGTTATTGATAAAGTTACACACAACCCTGTATTTTGAGTGAATTCCAACAAGAAATGTTACAGAAGCATGTTGCAATATGCTACATATGCAAATTTTTATTTATATACTTTTCAATTGCATAGAAGTAAAATGGTACAGCCATTCACTATGTATTAGTGACATCTTGCATTAAGATGCTGAAAGGCAACTTAGGTGAAAAGTCTTATACCATCTTGATAAAAAAATCTTTAACAAAATTGCTAAATGAACTAAAAAATCATTGACAGTATGTAAAATACAGCCAAAAAAAAAGTGATTTACAATAACAATAACAACAACAAAACATTTTCTACAGGATATAGTGGGAAAGTGATATAGGCATGTTTTGAATGATGCCATTTGAAATTTGAACATACAGGAATGAAGCCCAGGAAAGGGTCTAATAGGTTCCTTTTATGACTGGCTTGAAGCAACAACATTCACTCCAGGATGAATTCCGTGACGGTCATGCAAAACTGGTTGTTGTGCCAGAAAATATCAATGCTGTGCATGAACTAATAAAGCAACATCATCATGTGACATACGGTGAGATTGAGGCAACTTTCTGCATTAGTATGACAAGCGAAGCATCAATAAGATATTACATGAACATTCGGCCCTAAAAAAGATTTGTTTGTGTTGGATCTCGCATAATCTGACAAACACTTAAAAAAAGACTCATGTCGATTGCCGTACGGAAATGTTCAAAAAATATGTTCCGAGGTGCATCAAAGGCTGTGTATGACATCTACACAGATGACAAATCATGGATCTATGTATATGAGTCTGAAAAACAGCAGTCAACTGTATGGGTCTTCCAAGACAAACCAAATCCAACAAAAGTTGTTTGCCAAAGACGCACATCAGAGCAAATGACGTTGTGTCAATCTGAGAGAGCCCAACTGAGACACTGACAACTTCAATTTTATCTTGCCCTTTTGAACTGAGTGGGTAATGGAACAAATACTTAGTACCTGGGCATGTGATCCGTTTATGTGACGTCTTCTGTGTATAGTACTGGCACAATTATCAAGTGATGTTGCAACCATGGACGGAACAATTGTAAAGATCAGTCACTGATTCTGCTTGGCTATTACAATAATATACTAATCTTCAAAAGGGGCAGTACAAGTCAACTGGCACAGGGCTGTGGACAACACATTGACTTGCTGGACATTGTTTTACCATTTGAGAAATTATTGAAAAATCAATGCCAAAGAAACAAGCAACATCTTTAATTGATATTTTTGCTACAATTCCTCTAACAGTATGCCAGCACTCACTATGAGCTATTTGACTGCTTTCAGTTATATAACAGGGTTCGTACACACTTCTGCACACAGAAATTAAGGACTTTAAAGGATCATGAATGAAACAAATTAAGGACCAAATGAGTGAATGGGAACTGAATAAATTCAATTAAAAATATTATCTATGGCTGAATTTTAACTTTTGTGATACCATCCTAAAAATAAATAGATCTGTAAGTAGGAGGCATTATTATTAAACATAACTTAATTAACATAATTATTAATAAGTTTGAGAATAAAATAAACTTTATGAAATTTATCAAAGAGCATTAAATATTTTACATTTATAATAGTTGGACATGTTAGAAAGATAAGTGGCATTCTATTTGCATTTTACTATCAGTTAGCTTTATGTTGATATTGTTACGAAATGTACAAGCGTGGTGGGATGGATTTTCTGCAAAGCAGTTTTAGGATTGCCATAAAATGGTAAGGGAAGGGCGGGTTGCCACATTTGGCAAGAAATCGCCCATTTGGTTACATTTGGCAGCAAAATTGGCAATATGCCATGGATGAATCGAGAACCTTCTGGAATGAATTCCTACCGGTTTAGCTCGGAATGTTCTCAAACACCAGTCAAAAGCTATATAAACCCTGCTGGTACGTGGAGAGTTAATCAGTATCGAGTGTGTGCCTCGTCTTGCAAGCTGATAGTCAGTCGTTGAGCGAGTGTCTCGAAGTCTAGCGCCGAGTGCATCGTCGAGTTTTGTCTTAGACTCTGCTGAGTCGAGAGCTATACTCTTGTGTATCATCGAGTGCATTGCAAGTTGTAGTGTGGAGAGTCTAGAGAGTATGTGGAGTTTCGAGAACGACCAAGCAGAGTCAGGAGCTGTACTCTGGTGCTTTGCAGTGAAGCTGTCTCCACCATCATAGCCTGATAACCTGAAGGCCGTGTCACTGATCGTGTCAGCGTGTTTATAGTAGTTTACTGATGACTGTAAAATGTGTTTTGGAGCTGTTCTGACAATACTGGCTAATAAAGTGTGTTTCGATACTTCCTCAAGTAGTGTCGTCATTATTCAATTCAAATCCATACGAACCTTGTACGAACGTGAAAGAAGAAAATAACGTAACAACTGGTGTCAGAAAAAAGAAAAACGCAACAATTGGTGTCAGGAGTGGGGTTTGCAAGTGAATGCCAGTGATCTGCCTGCAGAGGAAAGCCATGGCGGAGGAAACGAAGACTTTGATGGACTTCTTAGCTGAGATCAGTGCCAGACAGAAAGAGGTAAAAGCCAGATGTGCTGAGATAAAGGCCAGATATGCTAAGATTAAAGCCGGATATGCTGAGATAAAAGCCGGATATGATGAGATAAAAGCTGGATATGAAGAGATGTCAGCTGATATGAAAGATGGACGAGAACAGATGAAAGCCAGCCGAGAGCAGGCGCAAGAGCAACTCCAACAGCTGAAAGTGGAGAATGCAGAAGAAACTGGAGCCATAAAAGAAGATGTGAAAATGACAGTAGTGGCATCTGGAGAATTCAAGGATGAAGAAATGAAGGAAATAGCTAACGAACTGCCTGAGAAAGATCCAGAAATGATCGATGAAATATCTAACGGTATTAAACAAAAAGAATGAAAACATGAAGAAATAAAAGACGGGAAGGAAGATTTTGATTATCAAGTGCCTGAAGTAGAGATAGAAGAAAGTGAAAATGCAACTGTCAAGTTCATAGAAAATGAAAACGATGTTATGAAGTTTCAGTTAGCAAGTATTGAAACACCTGAAAGTTCATGTGATGCTGAGATGGAAGAAGCTGATATACAACTTATGCAAAGTGTTCCATTCTTGCGAGAAAATTCACTCATTTCACAAACTATGTGTACGTCTCATAGTGCAGATTATGCAGACATGTACTTGATTCTAAACCAGGATACTTGTTTTGGTAACGTATCAGGCTCCATTCAGGACTCTTATGCAGAATTTGAAGGTGGTTCCCAGGAAACAGGGGAAAACGAGTATGTACCAGCTGCTAAAAATACCAAGGTGAACTGTATGCATGCTGCGAATGAACTACAGAGTGGTGAAGAAACTGTTTCAGATCTTCCTGTGGATGAAAAGTCTGAAAAGACTGAATCTTTATACTGTGATATGCAAAACAGAAATGCATCTGAGAACTGCAGTGGAAAAGTATTTAAGTATTTGACTTCATTAGAAAAAATTAAATAATTTCGAAATGATTATTTGCACTTCTTTCACTATGAAACTCGAGTATCCCACCATTTATATCAGAAGTAGGAAAAAATTATAACTCATGAACCCATTCAAAAGATAAGCATATTTATCAGTGAACTGCCGAAAATATTCCTCCAAAATGCTAATTTTACAATGGCAGTTTGTAAAAACAGACAGAAATTTCAGATGATTAAAACTAAGGACCTTCTGCCTATTTTGGCTGAAATTAAGGATTTTTTAAGAACCAAAAACTGATTCCAAAAAAACTAAGGACATTTAAAGACTCTTAAGGACTGTACAAACACTGTATAAACACAAACACCATCAAAATTATCTTACAAAAGTTATAAACATTTTGTATCAGCATTTAAATGAACTTCCTAAAACTCTTAAGAACGCTGGCATCTTCAGTGACTGCCTAACTAGCATATGTCTTGTAAATTGACTGTGACTAGCTGTAACATATGATATTTGCATATTGCCATCAGCATCTGCAGCCATTTTCAGCAACTCAAATCCAATTATGCTTTTGAAAATTGCTACTTTGCTTTGCATGCTTAATTTCTGAAAGCTAATGTATAATACAGTAAAAAACATTTTAAATTTATGTATGTAAAATAAATAAATAAATCAACAAGTATCAAATTTTAACATTATAAGAAACAATTGTATTCACTATGCATACTTTCATAGTGTAAGTGTTTGGTAGGTCTAGCTAACAAATTACAAGTTCTGTGGCTCAGATACCAGGAAAGGCAGAACTAATCTTTCATACTTCCTGCATTAGAAAAACATAATAATCTCTATAACCTTGAAAATGTTATTACTTATAACTTTGAGAAAACAGATAAAATCTGTTTGAGGGAAAGAATGACAAATTAACTAAAAAAGGAAATTATCATATGTCAGTGGATAGATTAAATATCTTAAAATATATTTTATATAATTATATATTATTTATTTTGCTACTGATTGCCATATCTTATCTTTTGCTAAGAACATAGTTTGATATTTATTAAAATTCAATATTGTCTTCATTTTCTGCTCTTATGCATAAAATGTATACCATGCACAAAGCAGAATAAAAATATCTAGTTACATTAGACAGCAAAATGAAATAACGCAATAATAATATATGTATTGTTAACTGACCAAGACACGATCCTCTCCCAAAGTAAAGAAATACAGATTTTCATTAGTCTCAAGATCATTGAATATGCAGTCCACAACACGACTTTGATGTTGTTGTGTTTTTCCACCAAAAACCCAAATAGCTTCTTCGGGAGGCATTGCAACTTTTCTCCTCATCATTTGAAAAATTTTAGGAGGCACTAATAATTGAAGTCGATAGCTTGTAACATATGATGCACTGTCCTGAAATTAATATCATTTATTTAAAAAATTACAGACAAAAATATTACATATGAAAACAGGTTTTTAATATAAAAAAAGCTGATGTGTACTCCACATGACTTCCTTGTACGGAATATTAAATTATACACATTTTTTTCTTGAATTTCATTTAAATTGATTGGATTGAATTAAATCTACTTCGTCAACAGCGCATAAACCACAATAGAATAAATGCACTCTTTAAAATTCACTATATTTGTTTACTATAACGACACTCTGAATGCACAAAATTTATATCATTTGAAGAATTATGGTTGCCACATGTTCTATTCAAATACTGTAATAAAGCTAGAATGATGTATAAAAGAAATTAAGCAAACAAAACAAAAAAGAAACAGTTTTTTACAGACGATTGAGTATTTCTAATTTAATTAATTCAGTTCTCACTTCGCGACAAGGCAAGAATACATAAAAAACTCAAAATATCTGCATTAAAAATTATGAAGTAAATCTTAAACACTTATTTCCTCAAAAAAATTCCAGAAAGGATTAAGCATGATTTAATTTGCAATAATAAATGAAGGCGTTATTTTTGTGTTGCAAAGCTTAGTCTCTCTAGATTGGCAACAAATCTACAATTCTGCAGTTTCAAATGTAAACAAATATGTCCGCCATGTTATTTAAAACTTAACCGCACTTAAACAGCTTTTAAATTGTTGATAATTGTACAAATATTGCTTCCAGAATTATGAAAGGCATAAAAACCTTAACCGGAAGATAAAAACAACATAATTCAATCATTTTTAAAGCAAAAAATATACAATTTACAAACATATAAGAGTAAAGAAACTGAGATCACTGAGCCAGGTAACAGAGTGGATATATATATAAATATATTGATATACGTTTGGTGCGGCCGATTGCAACCAAAATACGAGGTGCACATCTACATGTTATAGCAGTCCTATATACAAAATTTCAACATTCTGAGGCTACTCGTTTTTGAGTTATGCGAGATACGTACGTACATACGTTCGCACAGACACCACGAAAAATTCTCCTCAAAATTAATTTTAAAGCAGTTTTATAATTTTTTTGGAGGAAAAGAGTCTTTTATTCTGTCCTTACATACAGATATGATGCAAAAACATCGTTAAATTGCATTCGATAGCGGTCAAAATGGATATTTTCCTTGAAATATGTTGCCTGAAACTTTTCGCGATTACAATACTTCATTTTTACTTCGTACAAGGAAGTAAAAAGAGCATGAAGAAAAATACATTTGAGTTTCCTTACATTTCCGATTATTTCAAATTTTGGAAGAACACAAAAATGTACATTATATATGATCATGAATAATGTTTAAATCTTTGCTTGTTTCTTTATTGTTAAGGACAGTAACCAGATATTTCTATGAATAAAATTTAACATTGATACTTGAGAAAAATAACATTGTTTCTCTTTAATTTGAAAGTAAGTGTTAAAGCAGTATTAAAAAAGTAAATTCGAACAATATCATAAAAAGAACTTCAGCATTTCAAGTTTATATATGAGGGTAAGTTGAAAAATAAGTTTCCCTTGTCGACTGTGGTCTGAGTTGTGTATGAAAGTTAAAAAATAGAATGAGACATTAAAGATATGACATACCTTTATTTTTCCACATAGGTACCAAGTACATTGAGACATTTGTCATATCGCTTGATAAGCTTCAAAAAGCCCTCCAGGAAAAAAATCAGGGCTTTGCATATGGAAGAAGCGTTGAATGGCTTGTTTTACTTCAGTATTGCTTCCAAAGCGACTTCCCCCGAGATTTTTCTTCAAAGACAGAAACAGATGGAAGTCGCTTGGTGCGAGATCAGGACTGTATGGCGGATGGTGTAGGCACTCCCAACCAGAGTTGCATATGGTTTTGCGTTGCCGAATGTGGTCTGGCATTGTCATCCAACAGCAGAACGCCAGATGGAGAGTCCAGGCCGCTTTTTCCGAATCGCCTCTTCAATTTCGACAGGGTGTCACAGTGCGCGTAGCATTGATGGTTCCAACCTCCAAAACGTCCAGCAACAAAACTCCTTGGGCATCCCAGAAAATGTGAGGAGCACTTTACATGCAGAGGAGTTGTCTTGAACTTCTTTCGAACATGATGAGGATGTTTCCACTCCATAGATGCGGCCTTTGATTCTGGCGTAATATGGTGGACCACGTTTCATCCCCCGTCACAATCCGAAACAGAAAGTCATTGCCATCTTCATGGTCACGCACAAGATGTTCCAGGCTGACCCACATCGTAGTTGTTCCTTGTGTGTCGAGGTCAATTGTTGGGGCAACCCATCGTGTTGACACTTTCTGTATCGAAGAATTGTCGTGGATGATGTTTTGAGTTTGCTCATGTGAGAGATTCCAAGTTCTTCCGTACTTCACGATGGTGATACGCCAGTTGCTTTAATCATGTCATCCACCTTCCTGACATTTGCATCTATAGTTTCCGTGCGCGTCCGTCCATCTCTCGGTATGTCCTCCACTTGCTGACGTCCATCACTGAATGTGCGACACCATCTCCGCACCATTTGCTTCGACTCACCCTGCCATAGACATCCACGAGGCAGTTATGAATTTCTGTTCCTGATACTCCATGTGCCCATTCATAGCGGATAACCGCTCTCACTTCCTCCTTTCACCACGAATTCAAAACTCACCTTCTCTCCATACCTACCAGGGCTCAAATGAGAGACTGGTCTCCGCTTTGCGCAGGCACTGCAACAGCGCCATCTGCTTCATTTGCAGCGACCTCTACCCAATAGTGTATCAGTGACTTGCACGTTTTCCTGCTGTGTCGCCTTTCGCCCATAGCCGTTCAACGCTTCTTCCATATGCAAAGCGTGAATTTTTCTTAGAGGACTTTTTGAAGCTTATCAAGCGATATGAAAAATGTCTCAACGTACTCGTATGAGAATAATAAAATAAAGGTATGTCATATCTTTAACGTCTCATTCTATTTTTTGACTTTCATACACAACTCTGACCACAGTTGACAGGGGAAACTTGTTTTTCAACTTACCTACATAGCTTGAATAACTAAAGAATTTTGGACTTAAAAATAATAACAAAAACTAATTTATCTGCATCAATCAATAAATAAATTTCTATGGCAATGTGAGTTAAATCTTCCTAACCAGCACATAACAGTTGCATATGATTAAAGAGGGATAACCAGGTAGTATCCTATTTAACATGGATGTTATCAATTAGTGGATTTAAGGCAACTTCAATTTCTAGCAAGACATATAACAGCTTAGACTAAATGATCAAATGACTCCACAAGTGTTTCAAATGTTTGTCAACATAGTTCAATTCTATAATTTTTATAGGCTTCTGTTTTATGGGAAATCGAAATTCTGCGCTGTAGAAAAATAATTCTTCAGAAATTTGCCATGCTAATTGTCCATAATTCTTGTGATAAGGTGGCATAAAGGTTCTTTATTGAGGGTGAGTGAAGGGTGCAATAGTTTTCATGTCAGTGGTAAAATCCTGTGCCTTTGTTAACAATTCCGGTTACAGCCTTGAAGGTTGCTCAAGTGGACAAAGAAACAAAAAAAGTCTTTTCATCAGGGTCAGGAGATGGATTATGTATGAGTGAAAGAACCTACCCCCTGGGAGTTCAGTGCAAGTAAACACAGGGAGATATATAAGGTGGTTTCCTGAGAAGAGGGAACAAACTTTCCTGTTTAGACAATATGGGCCTGTGGACTTGCTAAGAACAATCATTCCTCGTGTATAATGTGTTAGAGCATTTTTCCTGTAACAAAATTCTGAAATTATGGGACTAACTATATTTAAGTCCCATATTGTCATGATATGCAACTATTAAGGTTTTCATCTTATTAAAATTAATTTTATTGATAGAACTTCAGTTTGAAGTTCATTTCAACCCTCTATTACAATCCGGGCTTTGTGTAGCGGTTTCAGCCATTACACCACATTCTGCTCTTTGTGTGCAGAAACTTTCCTTTTGAAAGCTAAAAATCCACTTTGTTCTCACACTGAAAATATGCATAAAAAAAACAAGATACGATCTTAATAAGTATTCTGTGTAATCATGTAATATGCAACTAATGTTTTAGTTAGTTTTTTACATGGTACCTCTATGATTGATTGTTGTTTCAATTATTTCTTTTTCTTGCCATTCTATCGCATGTTTGACCTAAAAAATAGCGTTTTAGTGGCTTTATGTAGAAATAAATAACTAAAAGTGGTAGATTGCATACTGCATGATAACCAGTATTCTGGTTTAAATATGTCATTTCAAACAAAGAATACATTACCTCCTCTACAGAATGCATTTTCTTTCTTTCTTTTTTTTTTCCCTTGGCACAAGAAAGACTACATTAACCTTCTGAGCAGCGCAGGATTTTAGATCCGTCATGAAAACTGGTATTTAAACAGCATTTATTAATTGAGTTTGTAAATTACTTATTTTAGTCTGCATTTTCATAAATGTACATTCATTAAGGTGATGCTTACATTATTAAAGCAAATAAGAAAGCAAAATATTTTAATTATAAGCTAATATATGCCACGTAGCAAAACTTCTGATGACTGGATAAAGCCGATGATAATGCTCAGAGGGTTAAATAAAAAGCAGAAAAAATATGTCATCTTAATAGATACAACATTTTTATACAATAGCAATCTACGGAGGCTGTTCACACACTTTTTAGACAACTTTGCTTTCTTAGAAAATTTTTTTTTAACTACTACAATATTTTTGAAGAGTATACTCCAACTGCACGAATCAAAATTTCTTCCCCCCCCATTGCCTACTGGGTTACAATTTTACTTTTAGAAGCCAATTGTAGCCAAGAGGAAAACAAATATAAAGAAATAGAATTGCATATCACAATCACAAGATCAAGTAAAGAATATCTAACAAGCAGGTTAATTACTTGAATAACAGTAATAAATGCGAGAGCTAACAAATAAAATAAAATGTATTAGTAAACATACATATTTGCATTACAAATATCTTTCATTAATTACAATATTAGAGCAAAGAGTATTATAATAATATCATAAATTTAAATAAAGCATACTAATTATATTTTTTATAAATTACATCAATAATAGTCATGATGTTTGAACTAGCCTGGAAAATTTAATATAGTTCACTGGCGTGCAAAAGATTATTCCGTATCAAAGTGTGTTAAAGTGTGCTAGAAGTATTTTTCGTTAATTAAAGTAATCATGTAAACATTTGCAAAAATTAATAGTTAAATAATAAAAAAAAAAACTTAGCATGAAATCTATTATAACAACATTCCCTATGCGTTTGGAACAATGACATATAAATTGTAAATAAATTTAAATTATTATGGTAAGAAGTTTTTTCTAAAATTTATCTAGAAGAAACAAATTAGATAAATAATACTGCAAATTATTATAATCAATCAGGCCTCTCAATAAATAAAAGCTTACTTTTTTAACCAAAAAATAAAAATTGGGATGCAAACATTTGTGTAATATACTTGGAAATAGCTGAAGATATAATTAATTAGAAACATATAATTAAATTAATAACAAGCTAATTAACAGTAACATTAAGCTTAATTTCATTCAATCTAAAACAAGCAATCAATCAGGAGCTTCGCATAACTGAAGTTTTGTTGCTATTTTACATAGATTTGCGAATAAATAAATATTTGCACTTGTGAAACACGTGAATAATGTACTGATAGTCAATAGGAATTAAAATACAGTGGTTAAAAATATGACAAGATATGATGCAGAGTTGTCATAACTAAAGAAATTGAATGATTATAGAAAACTCATAAAGTTAAGCACTATAGCTTGAAAAGAAAATTCTGGAATATACACGTTAAGAAAATTAGATGGAGAAATAATCCTTAATTTACTGATATCCATATAAACTCTATGCTTTTGGAAAAAGTTACATATAATTTCCTCAAGAGAGTGGATAAAAATGTTAAAATAAACTCCACATATTATCAAAAACATATTTTATTTCCAATTTTCAAATATGAAATACCTTCTGTTTACACACAGTGTGATTAATCCATAGAACTGCTTCAAGACAAAGCAAGTAGCAACATGTCCAAATCTACTGTTGATTTTTTGGAAAAAATAGGACTAGAAATGTGTATCAAGGCCATACCCTTCACTTGTATGTTTACTAAATCTCCTGATCTATTACCAAGGTATTTTTGTGCTTTTGGACTTTTAAAAAGCATGTTACCCTGACTTCACTCTCCTAGACTCTGGAAAGCTGTTCGAGAGCAAAGAGATAAAATACTTCTTCCAATACTACAAAAGGCTTTTATTGTCTTGAAAATGACAGTGTACAAAGATAATGAAGAACAAGAGTTATCTAACAGAACATTTAAAACATAAAAATTTTAGGTAAAATATTTCTTTAATTACAATGAAAATCGTCTAAAAGTCTGTAGTGCGTATGGTTCTGTACTCCTCATAACAATTGTTAGTTAGCATCTCATCTGAGATATTCCCAATATTCATAGGATTCAGGTCCTATCCGAGTATGTGTATAGAAAATTTTCATGACCAAACTTTACAGTCTCCCTATGACAACTCTTACTTATCTGCAAAATAATTTACCATCAATGATGATAATGCTTGCACATCAGGAATTAGCATTACAGTTACTGTAAACCTTATTTGCATCTGATACACATAGCACCTGCTAAAGAGAAAGATAGAAAGCTGATTAATTAAAGCCTGTGTTGAGAGTTCAGGAAATTTAGATATAATGTGTAGATTTAAATACCACAAACTGGTTGGTAAAATACACTGCTTACAGCAATTAAAACTTTGAACATAACATTAGATGCTTATTTAAATTAGAATATAAATTATTTTTATAAAACACAAAATAAACAAACAAATAAATGCTTCTAAGTTAATTAAATTTCAATACTTAAAAATTCAAGAATTTAAATAAATTACTATTATAAGTAAATGCTGAGAATCTGGAGAAAACTTCATCATAACAGGTCGATGTAACACTTCAGAAGCTGTGAAGAATGGTTGTGCAGAAAAATTAACAGCATTGAATATTGCAATGTTACCATGAGACATCACACAAGCTGAAATAAAAATTGAGATATTACTAAAAGTAATTAAATTTAAAATACGAGTATAATGTGACAAATATACTTATACAAACTTATTACTGAATTATTATTAAACTATAGTTAATATTAAACTTATTATTAATTTAAAGCTTTTCCAAAATGATAATAGATTGGGAAATTCCCTGTTTATTATGATAACTATTGTATATGAAGAATTTTAGTACAAGTTCTATACAAGATATTAAAAGATTAAAAAAAAAGAAGAAAGAAAAAAGAAAAAGAAAGGTTTTAGCATAGCTTTACATAATAAAATGTTTTAAGAAAATAAACTCAATAATACAAAAAAAAAAAAAAAAAGAAATATAAACTACAGTTTTCCCATTTGCAAAATATCTTTTAATAGTTAAAAAGAAAAAAGAGGATATCTCATGCAAACAATTATAAATAACTTCTGGTGTATTGCAAATCCACTTTAGATTTAAATACGTCTGAATCTCTTTCTAGGATAGATTGCATCAAGGATTTCAATATTTAATCTCATAAAGATCGCCATTCCTACATAACATATATTCCCTAGTTCTTCGGTTGTAGCCTATCCTTGGAATAAACTTTCTCAGTGAGAATGCTTATAAATAAAGTTTGCATTTCGGAAATCTTGAATTTGGCCCCAACATGTTAAAAAGTGAAATTCAGATTTTAGAAATATTCCTTTGCATTTCAAATAGCTTACATTACCTTAAGTCACCGTTTCTGCTTGAATGACATAAACAAATATCTCTGTGAAATAATCAAATCTGCTCTTTACTGCCTTTTTAAGTGAATTTTACATTCTTTTATCATACCCATAGCATGAAATATATCTACTCCATCTAAATTCCATATCTTCTCATCAGAAAATATGATTTCTTTCCCATTTTTATTTAATTCATGTCTTATTTTGCCTATCATAATTGCTTCCCTTTTTTTTTACGCAGAGCTATAAGTGAAATTTTGGTTTCCATTTCTTTGTATCTTTAGTGTTCATTTTTGCCTTCAGACACCTTCATAAAATTTCAGGGAATGATTTTTCCAATGTCGTCACCTTGTAGAGATTCCTTGGTTTGCAGTCTATTTTAAAATTTGACAAAATTTTCTTGAAGTTATTTTTCTTTTCTTCTCAATACCCTTCTTCTTGAAATACTTTTCATCTTTTTAAATAATATTAAGAGCCGATTTAAAATATTATTTCTGTCTACATAACAGAAACACTTTTTGGACATCCATGTTAGTAATCACACTTTTAAGAACCTATATTAATTTGTTAACCTGATATTTTTAATCTTATTTAGCATCATTGGGTATTCGATAATACAAAAAATTCTGCTGTGCAAAAAAGTTCTGGCAATACCAATTACTATCTTTTAATCCCAGCGAATATACCAAACATTTTGTACAAAACATTCCTAACTCTTCAACAGTATCTTCACAGCAATATCATAATTTTGTATTATCTGTATTTAGATACCGTGATGCTACATCCCCACACTTCGCAACGTATTAAGAGAAACTAATTAAATACAGCTATACCCATATTTAAATTATATATAGCTATACCTATATTTAAATTAATAAGTGTTATCAGTAACTGTCATCTTCTCTGTAACAGACCATCTCCAAAGACAAATAAAATCATGTAGAACTATTATTAGTTATCACATACAACTAAAAATTACTTTTAATAATTTAATTCACATTCGCTTCATCATATTCATCAAAAGAAAAAATAAGTGAAATACAGTTATTAAAATTACAACTATTAAAATGAACAAAATTTATTTACTTGGCAGTGAAAAATATTTTTCTATGAGGTAAAGCTACCAGTTTTAAATAATTCTAAAATTCAATACAAAATGACTTACTACTAACCTACATATGTGCCATTATCGTCAATGACTAAGCATTCAATCTCCGCGCATTTAGCTTTAAATAAATCTTTAGCAACTAGTTTCCTATAAAAAGAGGGAGTTAAAAATTACACAGGGGCATGGTTAACGATGTGCAGCATAATATCAGTAAAAATTTAATATAAAATAATTACAAATTTATTTAAAATAAATAATTTAATCTAATAAATTTCAAGTGATTGAAAATTCATTTTTATAAATGTAATGTAAATATATATATATTATTGACAAGAGCAAGAAGGGAAATAATTCATATTTTTTCTACTATTTAGTATAATGCTGTTATGAATGCAACCTCACTAAAAGAATTAGTTTATTTGGTAATCCTGTTTTACTTTGCAATTAAGACAATGGATTAAAAACCATAATTAAACATGTATTTGTAAAAGGGCATTTTTTTCACATTTGAAAATATCAGTTACACACAGCAATTAAAATATAAATTTCATCTCGAAAGAAATAACATGCAGAGTTTTAGTTAAATAAAATAATAACAATAAAATTAATAATAAAAATTTGTGATCCCTTTAATCAATTGGCATGATTCTAAAGAGAAATGTGTCCTTAAGGTGATCCAGTGATTTCAGTAACAATGTTTTCAGAAAATATTTACCCCTACTGCCTTTTCTGAAAATACTGTTTTTTAACATTAATTACACTTTGCCTGTAATGAAAACATGAAAATACAGTACAAAGTCCATAATCCGGACTTGTCGGGACTTCACCGATTCCGGATTACAGATCATCAATTTAAATCTGGTAAGGTAGCATGCAGAAATTATACAATTAAAAATATGAAATCATAATTTATGAAATGAGCAATTATAATCTAAAGGGTATCAAAATTTACAAAAAAAAAAAGCTTAATATTTATTTGTTTACTTTATTAAACATTTCTTTCAATGTAAGTCGTTTAAGTTGCTTCGTTTTTTGTGCTAATACTTTCTCTTTAATTCTATAAACAGACATAACTTCTTGTTCAGTTACCAAGTTCCACTATTCAAGTCCTGCAATTGCTGTGTCGAGAATACCGACTAACCTGTCAATCGAAATATTTTCGTTTTGAATAACCTCTCTGTCACTTTCTTCACTATCGGAAGCGGTATTTTCTGGATCTAGAATCATGCTACAGATTTCGCCATCTGTTAACTGATTGATGATTGGGGCATTGTCATCGCAATCAAAAAAACTTTTGTTATATCATTGTTAGATTGACTCATCGGAAACTGAACTGGATTGCACATATTTTATTTATTGTCGAGAAAACAAGCACAACTTACACAGTATAAAAAAAAAAAAAAAAAAAAAAAAAAAGAAACAAAGCTACAATGCCACATGCTACATGGTTATCAATCTATTATCTGGTGACCTGGACATGATTTGAACATGCAACCTTCTGATCTGTAGTCAGATCTATGGAAAACAGATAACTGCCAGGTTTGTATGGCCCAGGATGAAGAAACAAACAAGTGACTGGGCTCGAGCTTGTCTGCAGTGAAAAAAAGTTAAAATAACAAGACACACCAAATCAAATACATCAACTGGTGCAGCCATCTAGTGGCATTTGCCCAAATTAATATCTATGTGCCAGCATTACTCCCCTACCAGTAACCAAGTTACGATGCAAGGAAAATGTGGTAGGAGAACCATTACTACAAAAATTTTAAATTCATTAATATTGATACTACAATTTCAGAGCATGAAGTCATTACTTTTATATATTAACATTCTAATATCATCAGAAAAAGAAAATTCTTCAAAAAACAGCATATTTTATACCATACTCTCTGAACATACATATTTAACACATAATATTCTTGGGAAATTAATATTTTTCTGAAAAACATATAGTATTATTGAATTAAATTACAGATGGATAGAACTTAAAGGTTTGCTCTTAAAACTCATATACGATTCTAAATTTAAACTACTACCAATATGAGTAGAATAGTACTTATTTATATACAGCACAAATTTTTGATTTTCAATATGTTGCAATGTCATTAACAGAATAGAGAGAAATCAATACTATCTCAGAACAGATAAGATATATGTGCACTACACTATATTCCATTGAAATATTCTACCCCAAAACAATAATTATACTTTTAAGATAGCTTATAAGAAGGTAATGCAAATGTTATGCCTATACAAAATCCACTGCATTCCAAAGCACAAAAATGTCAACTCGTACTGATACATGAACATAAAATATGAAGCAAAATTTCTAGAACAGTGATAAAAAAGAATGAAAGTTATATCTAAATATATTCATGCGCAGTAGTACATTGCTCAATACCTACCCTACCACTTTATGACACATTACAGAAATACTAAAAAATTAAATATCAGATAAAATATATAAAAATGAGAACAAAAAAAAACAAAATTATTTAAAAAAAAAAAAAAACAATCAAAATTATTTTCTAAGGTTTTTCTTACACATTTCCTTATATGAAAATTAAGGACTTTTAAGGACCATCAAAGAAAAAATTAAGGACCTATCAGCAAACAAAAAAATGAATAGAATAAAGCAATTATCCATACAACCGACTTCATGCTTGTAATTTCACTTTAAAAAACTAACAGAAGTGTGTATTATGCACTATTATTAAATTCAACTTAATACTTACCATAAAACAATTTTGAAAATTAAACTAACTCCCTACAAGTTATGAAGTAGATAACATTAAATGAGGAACATAATTTCTTGAAAAACATGTATAAGTGTATTTTACACTAATAACAGTCACTATTTTAGAGATTTACATGATTATTATTTAACTTATTTGATATTTATTTAAACATAGTCAACTACTATTATAATCACAATGTAAGAATATTTTGCAGATTAAAATAACTGATTTGTAAACATACAATTTATTTCCTTGGTTTTTTGAAAGATACTAGAATAATAAACTGTACAATAAAAGATACAAAACATTTGTGCTTTTTTTAAATCTGAAATCTTTTCAATTTTAACTCTTTTATTTATGTCTATTTCCTTTTCTTTAACTATTCTTCTAAGTTCATTTGCTTTGATAAACAAATCAATGTTCCTGATGGTCTCAGCTTTATCTGCTAAAGCATCTACTTCTTCATTAATGTCTTTAATGTCCCTTTGAAGGAAAGTTTTTCTTCTGCTTCATATAATCAATTTCTTCTTCAATAATATTTCTTTTCCTCTTTGAATTTTCAGATTTAGTTAAAGATTTTTGTTCTTCTAAATACTGAACTTCTAAATAACGAACTCCACTTCTTGCAGAAGCTGCTGCTGATCTCATTTCTTTATTAATTTCGATATTAAGAACACCTCCAGAAAATTTTATGTAATCAAATACTGTGCGTTGAAAAATGTATGATGAGTCACTTAAATTTTCAATTTCAATTGCTTTATTTACAGAGAAGCCCCTTTCCACAGAGGCCTGTTCATGTGACAAGATAAGAATACTTGTCACAGTGAATACTTGAATAGTGAAAATATACATTTTTTACTATATATATATATATAATTTATTTCCTAAACAATATAGATTAATTGATTATATTATCTCCTAAGTTTAATTAAAGTAGAATTATTTTAAAAGAGTGAATCCATACTGGTAAGTTATATTTTGAAAGATGTATATATATATATATAAAGTCCGAGATCCGGACATCCGGACATCTAATATCTGGAATGATCTAAAATCTGGACCTCAAAGCCACCACCAACCAATTTTTTAGGGCTTTTTTGAAGGGAAGGGGTATGCTTTACGCACGCGCATTAGATTTTTTTCCCTCATCATAAAAAAAAACATGCCAGAAATCCCGATTCTTAATCTTAGTTTGGTGCTAAATAAAATATCTCATTATTGAAGAAATAATTATTTTAGCATAAATTTGTGTGATTAGTAACTTGACTCCATAGCTGCGTATCTGCTTGGCATAATCTCAAACCGAAACATTTGTTAATTTTACACCAACTAATATTTTATATCCTTGATGCCGAAATCGCGAATCATTATTTATTGTATTTTGCTTTCATCACCGCATGTTTATCAACGAATGACAACTTGAGTGATGAATCATGCAGCGATGCCAAATAACAGAGTATTATACGATTACAGATTTAAATTTAATGCGCTAAAATGTTGACAAGGGGAGATTTAGCAGAAATTTCTTTCCTTATGCTAAAAATAGATTTTGTTAATGATACTCATAGGACAAACGATTATATTTAGTGCTATTTGAATTAAGAATAACTGATTTGTTATTCACATAAAGCCAGAACCAGCTCCAGAGCTCGCACCAGGCGGCAGAATTTAGCGAAGTTTTAAACAGAAGTTTTTCATTGCAATGACAATGCCCAATCATCAATCAATTAACGGAGGGCGGAATCTGTAGTATGGTTCTAAATCCAGAAAATACAGCTACCGATAGTGAAGAAAGTAACAGAGAGGTTACTGAACGAGAAAAAATTTTGATTGACAAGTTATTCGGAATTCTCGACACAGCAATTACAGGACTTGAACAATGGAACTTAATAACTGAACAAGAAATTATATGTCTATAGTATTAGTCTAAAGTATTAGCAGAGAAAACAAATCAAACAACTCACATTGAAAGAAATGTTTATTAAAGTAAACATATAAATATTAAGCTCTTTTCTTTGGTAAATTTTGATACCCTTTAAATCATAAATCACGATTTCATATTTTCAATTTTATAATTTCTACGTGCCATCTTAGTAGATTTAAAATGATCTAATATCCGGAAAAATCTCAAATCTAGGATCGCCGAAGTCCCGACGAGTCCAGACCTCGGACTTTGTACACTGTATAAATATATATATATATATATATACGGAATGTATATTTTCAGTTAAACTTCTACCCAATAACTTTAGTAATTCATGAAAGTTAATTTTGCGTCTAGTTAATTCAGGAAAATTAGTTTCAATTAGTTGTTTTCAGCTTTAAAAATATTTAAAAAATTTTTAATTAGTTATTTTCAACTAATAATTGTATCGCCATTAGCAAAAATTATGCATTACTATCAAAAAC